TTTAGGGTTTATAGGGTTCAGGGCATAGGGAACACTTCAACTGAAAACTGTAGAACTGCCGGGATCAAGTAAGACGCACGAATGTACTATGCATGCGTCCCATCATAGTAGAACTTCATGCGGAACAGTTTGTAGTTTTCATCGGCGTCTTCGTCGTCGTCGAAGATGCAATGACAGCAAGATGAGCGTGCCGCCCCCGTTCCATGTGAAACTTTTGAGACAGCACACAAACGAGATCTGGATGCATGGCTTTCGCACTACCCTGCGGAGCACGAGGCTAGATCGAGGCACAGACAGGCGGAAAAGAGTGTAAACCGTGTCGACAGGCCATGCATCCACGTCGGTGCCCGGTGCGAAGACTACGGAGGAGACCCCGCCAGGTGGGACCGTACTGTATAGAGCTCTAGCAGTGCACGACCGAAGAATCCATTAAATGCTTCATGGAAGTTTCTGCTTCGTTGGAGCACCGGTGGACTTGGTAAGGGCCGTTACGTGCTCTGTTTCCCTGTTCGTATAGTTCCGGGCGACGGCTTGTGAACCATCTCAGTCAGCATCCTGACCTCATTCCCTAACGGCTTAATATAGATCCCCTCGCAATTGACAGGTTCCATATGGGTGGTTGTCAAAACTATGGTCCCTTTTGGGGTCCCTGTTATAGTACGGCACCTATTATTTACGGTACCCCAAAAAGGGACCATAGTTTTGACAACCACCCATATGATTCTATACATCTATCCTCCATACCCCTGCTGGCTGTGAGGAAAGGCGCTGCCAGGATGGGGGCCTTTGCGAGCACCGACAGCTCGTGACATGCCGCTTGGAAATGCAGCGAAGTGCTGTTCCCAGACCTGCCAAAACGGCTTCCTGTAAGGGATCCTTAGGGGTTCCTTTAAGGAGTCTATAGGGGATCTATAGGGTTTAGGGGGACTCCAAACCCCCTCAATTGAGGAATTTACCATAACTCAGACTGAGGGTCCTACTACGATAATTTCAGGTGTAATCCTCAATCAAGGGGTTTTGGAGTGTCTCTGGGTTCTCGGGTTCAGGGCATCACGGTTTCGGCCTTCGGGCTGCCGGGTTTGGGAAACGCAGTGTTTTCGGGGTGACTGGGTTCGAGTTGTCAGATGTGAGGTTGAGCGGAGTTATCACGGGTACATTCACGTGCAACCCGACAGTCAAGATTTTCAATTTCACTGTGCAGTGATTCCAGAGCCAAGCATCCCGAAGCACTCAGAGACAGGGCCTCCCGGTCATGTCAGTTCGATTCTGTAACACGGTGGACCCCGGCAGCAGACGCCGCTGGAGTCGTGAATTCACAACATCAGTTAGAGATCTCAATGCAAAGCTCTGCACTCGACAACCTGAACCGGTTGTCTACGTCTTTTTCTTACAGTAGCTATGATCATTTCATCGGACCTTAACCAGAAAGCCGGAGGATCCTGGAAGCTTCGCCGAGGCTTTAGGGTTTTGGGTTTTTGGGTCTTGGGTTTGGGGGTTGGGGTTTTGGTTCAGGGTTACCGGGTTTAGGGTTTTGGGTTAGGGTTTTGGGTTTGAGGTTTGGGTTTAGGGTTTACGGATGCCGAGGAAAATCCGGCGAGGACCAGGGTCGCCCTTGCAGCCGCCCTCCTTCGAATACCTGGTGCCCTGGGAAGCAAAGGTGATGGAAGAATTTGGTGTGCGAAATGTAGGAGTCAGAGTATACGACCTAACCTTCCCTTCCGATGAAGCCGCAGATTTGGCATGCTGCAGAAATCATGGGGATCCGGTGTTGCTGCTTTACAGCCAAACGTCAGTCTTACCAGGCCCTTACTAGGCAAGGCAAGCTGGGCTCAAGTGGATTGTTATATGTCGCTGAGGCATGTTCTGCGTACATCTGTCAGCACCGGATAGCAGCATAGGTGGTTTTGGACTTTGAGTGGACTGCGGACAACCGGAAGGCTGTGAAACCGATCAGTGGCCTGTCTGCAGTGCTTGTGTGTGAAAACGTTTTGGTGATGGGCTTCCGCTTGTGTGCGGCTCCGAGTCCATGTCTTTCTCGAACGGGAGCTTAGATAGCATCTTCGAAACGAAACCGCGAGCCTACGTAGAAGTGACTACAAGTCTTTGCACGAATCCTCGCGGATATTCAACCTTAAAGAGACCATGACCAGGCGAGATCACGCAGTTTCCCTCTGTGCTGGTTCGACTGGCCGGCCGAAAGACCGCCATCGTCGATGAGCTCCTCGACGCAGTCAGAACTTCCTTTGGGGATCACGGTCTTAGTCTATAGGCTGATAATGAAACTCCCTTATATTTCTATCAACGTATAATCTCTAACCATCTCCAACCCTGATTATGGCCCTAAGTAGTATGCCTAGAGTGGCCTGCAAGGCCTTAAAAACGGAACTCAAAACCCGACGTCAACTTCAACGGCCTCCGGCTCCTGGGATCTGTTTACGATACCTCGCCTGTAGCTTCTGCTGAGTATCGTTTGGAGTGAAAGTCTGCCATGCCAGGTTCAACGCTTATGTCCGCCCCACTCTGAATCCGATTTTGCCCCAGTTCTCCATTGAGCCACGGCTGCAGCAATCTGGGTCGCTGCGGTGGGTAGGTCTTGGTGAACTCTATCTTTATCGCTCTGGTTTCCTTCCACCCGACATTCTGAACCTATGGCGACTTTGGGACATTTTCACGGACACCAGTTCTGACAACGAACCTATGTGTGTGTTCAGTAAGCTCTGAGGCCCAAAAGTTGATGGAGACCACAAGATTACTTCAGAAGCGAGAGCTGATTTTTTTAAGTCCAGCGAAGCCACCGGAAGGGTCAAATCTCGAGTTCTACTGCACCTTACTTGGATGCTGACACTTAGCCTACCTACTGCGCCCCCTGACCTCTACGAACATCAACCCTCACTTGAGGGCCTAAAGCCCTAAAGCCAAAAAACTAAGCCCGGTGTGCCTTCCAGATCCTTCCAGTCGGAAACCAGGACTTGACCGGTATCACCCAAGACATGGTCGACAGGTCCGCTCCCCTGGAGGACCAGAGATTTTCCGTTAGAAACATGAGATGGTTTTTAGGATTTAGGCTTTAGTGCTTACAGGTTTCGGGTTTTCGGGTGTAGGGATGGTTAGGGTCTCGGGCCTCGAGGGTAGGGTTTAGGATCTATATGAATCATGCGTAATTATGCGTAGGGTGTAGGGGTTTTGAAGGGTACAGAAGGTCGCACCTCCACGCTCAGCAAGCTTCCCCAGATGCAGATCTTGCAATAGCCTCAAATGTGAAACCCTTAGCCCTTAACGTCCGAAAAGTCGCAAACCAGATATCTTCTGACCATGCAAACTGCAGGACAAGCTTACGCAACCTTGGTCTTATTGGCCATTCCCTAACCTGAAACTTTAGGTCCAAAAAGCTCCAGCCCCGAAACCAGAACCGAACCCTAAAGCCTTAAACCCTAAACCAGCCTGCTAGCCTGATGGCCATCCTATGGAGGAAGTGCTTCCCCAGTACATGGAGCTTCCGAGCTGTAATGGATGTTCAGGGTTCAGGGATATATGGTTAGTCTTTAGGACTGGGGCTCATGCGCCATCGGAACAGAAGCTTCTGCGGCAAGTGGGGTTTGTAGCGCTGAACCTAGGGCTGATGGAGTTTCAGGTATTAACCTGGGCTTGCAAGGCTGACGGCTTGCAGATGGTTACAGGACGCGTAGACCGGTTGTTATTGCAAGGCAGATCGGGACTTCAGGGATGATGAAGCAAGGGGGACGTGTAGTTATGCCGGGCACAGGCAGTGGAACTTTAGTAACTATTCGGATCTGAGAAGTAACTTTGATGTAGGCTTCTAAATCTCTAAACTTTACAAGATCCTTGAAGCGCTTGCGCATGTTGACCCGCGACTCGGAAAAGCTTAGGTGGCTGAAGTCACATGGACTGGTGTCAGACGATGGGCGCCGTCAAGGTGCAGATGCCGAATCCGAAGTTGAGTCTTGGGCTTTCGGTAGGCGTGGATGTCCCTGTATGGTTGGCTTGCCTTAAACTGAATGTTCGGTTCATGGTTTTCCGACTTCGGGGCTTTGGACTGTCCGGCTTCAGGAGATGTTGAACAACTCGTGTTGGTTGTGTCGCAGCTCACGGAACCCAAAACACCCTAAACCTGAGGCTAGAGGTCAGCTTCGAAGTGCAAGAGTCAAGAAGTCTTCGCTGTGGAAGCTTTGTCATCCCTACTCCCTGAGCGGTTGGAAGTTGAGCGAAAGTTGAATTCTGGTTCGAACTGACAAACTTAAGTAACTTCAGGCTTAAGCTTTAAGACTTGGGCTTTCTGGTCGAGGTTTTGGCGTCTTGCGGTCGCGTGCAGGACACTGGGCCATCTGCACCTGGACCGATGCCGACATTGGGGCGCAGCTTGTGCGCGAACTGAGCTTCAAGGACTTGCACTCAAGAAAGCCAGTCAGCCACTCCTACTTGCTGCAGAGTGAAGGTGCAGGACTCTGAATAGTTTGCACCGCTCCCTGCTCCCTACGGCCCTGAGACTTTCCAAGAAAACATATAGTGCCACCCTATCTCCTTAGATTACGTAGTAGGGTCTTCTGGAAAAAAGTGTTGTCCGGCCCATGTAAGGGCTAGGGTATCCTTTCTGTTTCACTATTGAATTACATCCTGCATGGCCAACATTCTCCAGTTCGAAGAGGGTGGGCTTACCCCGCCAGGTGTAAGTGGAACTCAGCTCAGACTGACGATTCTGATGTGTCTTATTTGTGATGACTGTGATGGTGAAGTTGCATTCTGGTGAGATGAAGCTTACCGTCAAGTGCAATCATGCCTTATGTCTAGTCATTTAGTGAACAGCTCTGGTTGACAAGGTTACTCGGACCACTGACATTTTCAAGATGGTGGTGATGTGATGGTGATGGTGCCGACCATGATGATGATGCGCACGCTGAATTGTTGTGGCTGGGCTTGCGCAAGGACCGCTTGGCCTTGTTCTGAAGCAGTCCTTTGCGGCTCTTTTTTCGGGATCAGCGATTATGCGTCGCATGTTCCAATGCACATGGCGTGTCGGATGTTCTGGGCAACGACGCTCGCTTCTCACCTTAACAGCGGCTCAGTTTTTACACATCCTGGAGGCACCACTGACCACAACGGAGGCTGCATATGCTGAAGATCCACTCTCAAAGCTGACAGAGGTTCAAAAAGGGAGAATTCTGCAGGCAGCTTCATTGCATGCGATGGAAGCTAGCTTTCCAAGCAGCGTCATTTCAGAGGCACCGGCAGGAATGCGATGCAATGGAGCAAGAAGAGGCAAGAATCAGAGTCCACACGACTTTTTGTGCGATGGGGGCAATGTAGAGTGCAAGGGCACCTCCATGCTGTGGGAACAGTCCAGAAGGAGTTGGGTGGCACGGTGGCAAAGCGTCAAATTCCTCCAGTCTGCCGGCATGATTCATCATTTAGTCCTGGCGATGCACACTCCTGGACGAGTTGACATCTTGTTGCACGATCATGCCTTCGGCATTGCATTCTCAGGCAAAACAACGAAAATTCGAGGGCATTCCATTAAGGTTGTTGGTGAAAGGGGGCTTCTATGCTCGAAGCAAGCTGCCCAGAAGATGCTGCACAAGATGGTCGATGCACCAGGCTCTTGCCTGCGACTGCAGTCGTGGGAAATATGCGACAGCATTTTGACACGCCTCATTTGTGAGGAGTCTGCTCGTGAGGGTACAATGCTGGCACACTGCTACCGCAATGTGCCTCTGGCTGGCAAATCTGCAAGTTCAAGAGGCAACTCTTTGCAGAAGATAGCTTTCGAGGTGGATCGTGTCAGGCACCCGCACTCTGTGTTCAGGAGCAGCGTGGGGGAACTGGATCTGATAGGCATGCGGAAGGTTCAGCGGCGCGGCATCGCGCGGGGCAGTGCTGATTGGCTGCGCGATTCTGTCCGAGTGGAGTTCAAAAGTTCGAAACTGCGTTGGTCTGAGTGGCACTCTTGTTGGCTGGTATCTTTCCATGGTGTCAAATTTTCGCTTGCCTCATCAACCTTCAGGGCTGCAGCATTTGATGAGCTATGGCTTGGGCTGTACAGCCCTATGGGTCTTCATCTATTGAAACATCTCGGTGACTTTGGAGTCTCCACTCGTGGTATACGAACCCAGGCCGACGGCCACGCTGTAACCGTATACGGCCCAAAGGGAGAGGAAGACCCCATGGCTGCACTGCAGGTCATCTTGGGCAAGTTTCGTGGAGCCAGCTGCGAGCTGTTGGCTGTCATCACCTGGTGATGCCACACATGGAATAGCAGAGAGGCTGATTCGTTCTGTTGGATGTCGTTACAGACGGTTGATGTACCTGGGTCTGTAGATACTGTAGGTGCAGCAAGTGATGGACCAAGAAATGCATTCTCTGGCCTTGGTGGCAAACACTGCCCAAGTGTTGTTAAAGCTCCCGCGGCCAGAGCACGTGATGCAAGCTTGGTGGAAGCAATCGAACCCAGAGATCTGTAGCTCGTCAGGTATGAGTGATGATATGGGAGTTTCCGACAACAGGGGACCCTAGTACAGCAGCCTCAATAGTAGGACCCTTATGATAATAAGGACCCCAGAATATAAGGTATCCCTAATGTCGGAAACTCCCATATAAGTGCGTGTGAGATTCCATCAACCTGAAATCTCGAGCTTCTCAGCAACAAAGAACTCCGCGAGGAAGTGCCACTTCCGGGCTGCTTCGATCAGTGGGTGGATCTGAAGGTCATGCACCTCGGCTGTTTGGTTTCCTGCCGAGTCTCGGTACCTCTTTTCTGGTCCTCTAGGTAGGCCTTTGGGACGTGTTGTTGTTTCCCTTCTTGGGCTTGAGATTCGGAGGATCGTCTTTTTCTATAGTTTATGGATGCTTTAAACAGTGAGCTACTCGGGCTTGTCTGTGTTGCAGCATGTAGTGCTCAGGGCTCGAGACCGCACGCTGTGCCTGGGTTTTGACCATTGCTTGTCCGGCTTTCGTCTGCTTGCAATTAAGGTTTCAGCGGCACTACCGGCGCGAGCCCAAAGGCGATGGATCTTGTCACCGTCATGCTGTACGAGGGTCTTTTAGATCACGGCTTGAAATTTTCAGGGTCTTTCAGTCTAGCAGATTCAGATCACGGATCGGAATTTCAAGTGATCGACCCCTGGAATTCATAACTCCGAGCGGTCTATCTGTTGCAGCTTTTTCAGGTCACCCTGGTCAGAACCCGGGAAGTCACTCTCGAAGCCTCGTAGCTTTGTTAATGTCCTACTATAGGGGCCTTAGTCATTAGAATAGGGTTCCTTTAGAGGGGTCTAGTAGGGTTCTATAGTATACGGCCTTAATAATTAGAATAGGGTTTTGGGGCCCATTGAGGAACCCCCAAAATAGTGCAAGTAATTCTGTAGGCCCCTTTCTTACCAGCATCCTTTGCCTGGGTATCTAGCGAAAGCCTTCGCAAGGAAACCCGCATGTGTAAGGTAAGCCTGCCTGGTTCCGACCTCGGCAAGCACACAACCCGGACTTTGCATGGTTCCGCAGAATCCACAGATCCACTGACAGGTGATCTTGAGCCATATGTATTCCTTCGTGGGAAGCCCATTGTTATGATGCATGTTCGTGTTCGTGCACCTTCACATTCTTCCACGGCTTGGTGCTCGTGTTTATTTTTCCGTGGAGGTCCCCCACCTCGTTAGTGTCACTACCTAAACATGCAAACACTGAGCCGAAATCATGCCGAAGTACGAGGGAGCTCAAACATATCCTTTGTGATAAAGACTCCAAGTGCGCCGTGCCTTCAAGGTGGCTTGCAGAGATGTGTGGAAAGCTTGGGCCTCACCTTCGAGGCATGCAGGGACCACGAGTTGGTGGTCGGTTTGCAGCTTACAGCTTCTTGTCCGGGAAGCAAGAAGGGTTCGGCACTAGCTCAGCTGTTGAAGTTGTCCGAGCTGGATAAGTGCCGTTTTTTTTGTCAAGAAGTTTCCTCTGTACCAGTCGAAGAAGCTGTGCTACGAAAAGCGTCCTCCTGTCTTTAGATTGTAACCTTGCAGCCTGCAGCATCAAGGAGACCAGCTAATTACGAGTCTTTCTTGAAAGACTGAAAGATGGTCACCATCTCCAGGCTCTTCGCGGAAGAAGACCTAACACATCTCACATTCAGCACCAGTCAGACACACATACCTGGATCATACGGATGTGATGTGGCCTCACGTTCTCCAATTCCTCCGGCCACTCAATCCAGAAAGACGCAACCAGCCATGTCCGACACTGCCAGGGTCGGGCACACGACGGCCTCATCGACTGTCGGAACACGGCCGCAATCGTGCTGTGCTTACGACGGGGCTCAGGGAAGCACATATCGCGTCCCATATTTGCCCTAAAGGCCCATGTACTCATATAGCATACACTTGGGCCCCCAAGTACCTAAATAGGGATTACATCCAGGCCAATGTATATACTTTATGAGTCCAGCACCCTTAGGGTAAGGAGCCAGAGCAGGACAGCACTGTCAAAGGGGCACTTCCACCGTACTTACTTGTGCCTCGAAGTACCTCGTTGTTTTCGTTTTCTGCCAACCAGCGCTCTTCGCTCAGGTGCTTCACATGGCACAGGGGTCGATGCTCTACGGTGCTGTCACTTTTCGCCGGGCAACACGAGGCAGCTTCGAGAGTTGAGGGCAGCAGAAAAAGGGCTCTGCGGGGATGGGGGTGGGGTCTTGTAGCGTTTCGCATGGTTTAGTGCTTTGGCGTCTGCTGCTCAGGGTTTTGAGGGCACGCAGCCCTTACAGCAAGCGCAAACAATAAATGCAGCCCGTAAAGCCCTACAAGTCGCAATGCATCAGTATGACGCGATAAGTACAATCCCGAGCACTCAGCCCCTGTAGGCTTCTTTAAGCATTGCAGTTGCGCCTTCAGCCTAACAACCCTCGACGATAGGACCGATAGGATAATTTGGGAATGCCATGTATTCAACACAGTATGCCGGCCCTGTCAGGCCTTTAAGCCCCAAAGCCAACGCTTGAAATTTGAATGAAGCACGAGAAAGAGGGTGACCTTAACCCCTGCACACAAACGAACCCTATACATACGTGCCCACGAGGCCTCGACCGAGATGGTAATGTCTTCGGCAGCCGCGCCCACCGCGCGGCACAGCAGAGCCGGAGGGCGGAAGGAAACAAAACTTGCTGGAACCGCTGTGAGGTTTAGTTTGGGGTTTCGGTTTTGGAGTTTAGGGCAGGCTGGCTTGCTAGGTTGAGACGTTTTGCGGGCATTATGGGTTCAGGGCTTCGCGACTTCACAGGTTTTAAACTTTGGGTCTGACTGCTGCTGTACTCTGTAAGGCCCACTGTGCTACTTGCTGGAAGGTCGACTTCCTCTTTTCCTTCTGTCACGCGTATGTCTTGCATTTGACTTTGAGGTTCGTTGTACGAAGAGATCTTGTGATCCGAGAAGTAGTTGATGCGGGCTGTTGAAGTCCGGGGCCTAAGAACCCCAACACTTCCCAGTTACACCGAGGAGAACGTACGCAAAGTTGAGATGTTGAGAGATTCTTCCGTAAAAGATGGAGACCTCGGAGAGTGCAGGATCTGCTGCTTCCGTGCACCACACGGTCGCAGTGCGTGTGATCCTGAACTTTCACGGTCCTGATAGTCAGATTACTTTAGAACCCAAGAGACTGGAAGTATAGGGTTTAGGGTTTAGGGTACGGTTTAGGGTTTAGGGTTTAGTATAGGGTGAGCAGACTTGTTGAATTCCATGGCCCAGGCCCTGAGTCAGTTTTCGCAGCTCTTCCCGGGCATCAAGATGGAGGCCGGCGATGCATTGCAGTAGAGGAGGTTAGGGTTCAGGGTTTTGGGGTTTAGGGTTTAGGGATGTTTAGGGTTTTTGGGTTTAGGACTTAGGATTTTAAGGTTTCGGCTTTTATCGGCATCCGGCTGCGGGGATAGGAGCCGAGGGGTGGACGGTGTAGGTTGTGCTTGATGTCCTGTTTTGATCTTATGCGTTGCGGCTTTGAGTCTCGGGGCCGACGGTTCATCCTCCCATCAGGGTTTGTCGCCTAACGCTTCAATTTTGTAGTGTCTCTGGTTCCTGGAGATCTGATCATGAAGGCTTGTGGATTCTGAGGTTTTGGAGTTCGTCCATGAGTGCAAGGCTGAGGTTCGATGCTTATCGCAAGATGTTAGGATATTCGGTCCCAGCTGTTGAGCTCGAGCAGGACCAAAACGAGAAGAACAGAAAAAACTTCACCGCCTCAGAAAAACCTCAGCACTCCGTCCACGCTTCTTGACCAGGTGTGCCTGGGGCATTTGCCCATGCGGCAGGGCTGGCAGAAGGACTGGGCCACATCAGGTCCGTAGTAATCACCGTCAGACTTGCTTTGCCAAAGTCTAAGCATGTGAATCTGAAGGTCTCGACATTCGTGGAAACATCTCTGTTGATGCCACAGGCTAGGTCCTAGTTGCTGGTTCCGAGCAGGTCAGAGTTCGAAAGGATCAAAGACAACCCGCAAAAGGGCACCGAACTGCTTCAGCCACGTTTGTCCCGGCTTCTGAGACCACAGCGCCGCGCGTCACTTCACATCCCTAAGTCCCCAACCATCGAGTCGTTCTTCTGTGATGGACACGTGACGGCTGCCAACGGTTTGTGGCAATCAACGAAAACTTCAGAGAAACTAGGACAGCCAGTGTTGTTCAAAACGAGGGAGAGGCCGATAGAGAAATCAGGATTCGACAGAGACTTCGGCAAGACATGTCTGTAGTTTATCACTTACAGTGAACTCCAAAAAGCTCAAACATGGGCTGGGAATGGGTGGTGCTTGGGAATGGGTGGTGCTTTGATTGTCTAGATTTTAATCACTTGATGGCATGCATGCGGTTATCACGTTCCAGAATTGTGGCATTTACTGCAAAAAAGCTGTAGGCCCTCAGCTCCAAACCCCTCCTCTCATAAGAGGAGCCCGTCAGGATTTGGCGGACAAAGCGGGTTGAATCAAGCACGGCACGTCGAGGCAAACTGGTTGGACGGGTTTACTGGGGAACACGGGCAGCCTCTAGTGAGTGGTGCTGTGCACGCCGAGGTGTGGTAGAGGTCCTTGACCTGGGTGTTGACTTGTTTGTTCTATTGTGTCAGTTGCACAAATAATCAATTGATCGTTGCTGGAAGGCATGCGTGGCGTTCCTGGTGTGGGCCCTTTATAGATTCGTTTCGTTCTGACGCGTTGTTTTTTCATTCTAGGCATGTGAAAGCCTCTTCTCCCCCCCTCTCCTGAGGGTAAGTGCAGGTGCTTCAACACGTTTGATGACGTCAAGGCTGCCAGTTCCGGAATGGAGGGAGATCTTCTGGCCAAGCTCAGCATGAGTTTGCAGGCCTTGGAGCCCTAGTCCATTTCCGTGATGTGTTGTTGCCGCTTGCAAGTTCTGCGATGCGGGAAGCTGAGGTGGCTCTGTGTAGGCTTCGGTTCGTCCACAGAGCTGCCATGCAACCTTCGATGCTTTCTCCAAAGGCTTCTCGATGCTTTGGGACTTCCGCACCCCTGGTCCAGAAGGGGAGCTTGGTCTTACTGACGCGGAGAGCGAGGCTTGTGGCGATGCTCTTGGCAGGGTGCTGGCTCCAGAACGGTGCTGAGCCCAGCTTCTGTGGCAAAGTCGCAGAAGACATACGCCTACAATTGCCGTCGTGCGGGGCGACAATCCCCCAACGTGGCCGAATTCCTCGTAGAGTCCGCGAGCGAAGGCGACAAGTGCCGGATCGCACCTCAGATGGTGAAGCCAGACGATTGACGGCACAAATAAGCAGCACCGACTCGGCCACGGAATTGCTCGCACTCCTCGAGAAGCCAGTGGAGAACAAGAACCTCTTCAATCACTTCCACATGTCTGCTGCCATGACGACGCTTGCCAGGTTCAAGAAGCGGCGCCAACTTCGCCCCGCTGATGCGAGCAGCTCTGTGTGGGCCCAGCTCGCAGCCCGACTGTCTGAAATGCTCGTGCAGGATGCGCTTGCACCGCGGGGCATAGCAAATGTGTTCTATGCAGTCGGCGAGCTTTACGAGCAAATGGGTGAACACACAAGCCAGGTGCTGCCAAAGCTTTGTGAAGCCGTTCAGGCAAAGGCTGCCGGAATGGTGGAACAAGCACTTTCTAACTGCTTGCTGGCAGCTGCCAAGCTCCAAGGTTCAGCACCGGAGGCCTTGAAAGTTGTACCAACACTTACGAGGTACATCCAGGGCAAGGCCGTGTCCATGAATTCCCAAGACTTGGGCAATTGCCTGTGGGCTGCGGCGAGGCTTCAAGATGCATCGCCGGAGGTGCTGGATGCCGTGCCAGCCCTGGCAAAGCGCATTGCGGACAAGGCGCAAGACATGATTCCTCAAGACCTGTCCAACTGCTTGATAGCGGCTGCCAAGCTCCAAGATGCATCACCAGAGGTGCTGGACTGCGTGCCAGCTCTTGCCAAGCGCATACCAGAACAGGTGCAGCACATGAATCCTCAGGATTTGTCCAACTGCTTGTGGGCATCTGAAACACTCCAAGATGCATCACCAGAGGTGTTGGATGCTGTGCCGGCTCTTGCAAAGCGCATACCGGACAAAGTGCTACACATGGTTCCTCAGGGACAGTCCAATTGTCTGTTGGCAGCTGCAAAGCTCCAAGACTCCGCGCCAGAGGCCTTGGAAGCTGTACCGGCCGTCGTGCGGCGCATGCAGGAGACCATCATTGCGATGAACTTACAGGACTTGTCCAATAATTTCCGGGCAGTTGCAATGCTAAGGGATGCATCATCGGATGTACTGGCATTGGCACCAGAGCTTATTCGGCGCATCCACCCGGTCATCAGACAACTGTCGCCGGAAGGGCTGCAAATGTCGCTGCAGGCGGCGCAGCAGCTCGGGGAGGACGAGTTGAGGGACAGCTTGCAAGCCGAAATCGACCGCCGGCAGCGATAGCCGTTGGATCGAGAGTCATTTTAGAAAGGCACCAGACGGCACGGCTTTCGCACTTTTGCGGATAGTTCGCCGAAGGATGTGAGAGTGCGAGCTACCAGGCGGCGGACGCATTTGCTGCTGCATGCACTTGCACCGGCCCTGCCCTGTGCTCTTTGGGAGCACGTTCGGGGTCTTGAGTGCAAAAGTGTATGTGGGGGCAAAACATCCGCTTTGTGCTTGGGATTGACCGCGAGGTCCATCTCGAGTCTTGACGGTCACCGTTTTTTCGGGGTAGTCTGTGGAGCCATGTAGCCTGGCTGTGTGAGTTGGGCAGGCTTGGTTTTGCATATTGAAAAAAAGGTGGCATCTGACAGTTTTGCTGATCGGCCCTTGTACCGAACACTCGTAAATCATCGTAAATCCAAAGTCTTGCAACAGCACGTTTCCCAATTCAAGTATCCTAACACAACCATCCGCATCCGCCCTTTCCTGTTCCTTGCAGGTGTGCCTGGTTGACCGGATCTCGACAATGCGTGGCTCGTGCTCGCAGAGGCTCTGCATGGTCTTGTGTATATGGCTTTCAAGTAACGGAAGAGATCAGACTGTACAGGCATTCAGGGTGTTGACCGGAGAGTTCAGGGCCTGCGGTCTGCAGCTTGCGTTCGACTTGTGGACTTGGGGTTTTCGAGACCATATGGCCTAGGTTACATAGTATAACGTACCCCAACACCCTATTCTTATTAAGGCCCTGGAGGCTTCACAGACGAAAAAAGAGCCTTCAAAAAGACTCAAGCGCCCAAATGCATTTGTCACCAATCATCCCATGCAGGTCCCCTGAACGCATTCAGGCTTCAGGGTCGTATATGCTACTCCAAATGAAGCGATTCGGGCATTTTGAAGCTTATCGCTTGAATCCTGTGTTTCGGAGGTTAAATCTCGATGATGTGCAGAAGCATCCTGTACCTGTGTCACAGCGAAGGACGTGTTGTCCTGCATGGTTCGCATTTCTCTATCACGGTCCTCTTGACATGCTGCATTGAAAGTACCCACTTTCAATTCGAAGCTTGCCCAGCTCCGAAGCGCATGCGAAGGGCTCCCTCAGTCTTTCAGCTGTTGAGAAACTTGTCTCTGTTCTTTTTCTCTAAGGCTTCCTCTCGGTGCCACCTCGCATCGGAACCTTTAGAGTTCGCCGGTCGTGGTAATCAGTTCTTTTGGTAGGACAGAGGGAGAAGAGTGGGAAAGGGATCATGGCCATAGGGCCACGACAAGTCTGATTCCAAGGCAAACTTCTAGGACACTACTCCGTCGCAACCTTCTGGCAAACCTCCTGAGGAGAGCGGCCTTTCAATATTTTGTGGCCAGATCTGGTCGAATCAGGAGGCAGGGCCGGGACTTTGCAGTGTCGGGTACCTGGAGTCGTCGGAGCGAAAAATGAGCCTTGAGAGAGTGGTTTCTGTCAATGAAAGCCGTCAGACACTGCGAGACTTTTGTGAGTTAGAGGCTCATAGGTACAGGTACGCTGGCACTCAGCTGTTTTTCAAAGATGATGCGGCATGCTATCCACACACCAGCTCTCTGAGGCTCGATTCGTTTGTAGTATCGGTGCGGAACCTTGCCGGTGCTCTTCAAAAGCTTCGCCGGGGCGGCCTCTCCGCGATTTTTCTCTCCTCGGCCGAGATGAGGAAGAGGCTCGCATGCCGGTGGATGGTTGTCGCCGCGCTCCTGGCGGGTTTCTGGCTCCAGGAAGGCTCGAGGACCAGCTTTTGTGGAGGAGCCCCAAACAGGTATGTCGCGAAAGCGGCAGTTGATGGTGGTCAGCGAGGCTTCGGAAGCCGACTTCCTCGTAGAGTCCGTGAGCGAAGGCGACAAGTTCCGAATCCCAACTCAGATGGAGAGGCGAGGCGACTCACGTCTCAAATGACAAAGGGGGCCGGCTCGCCTTCCGAGTTGCTCACACTATTGGACAAGCCGGTTGATGATGCGAAGCTCTTCAACCATTTCCACATGTCAGCGGCTTTGACGAGGCTGGCTAGATTCAAGAAGAAGCGCCCGTTTCGCCCAGCTGATGTTAGGAGCAATGTGTGGGCGAAACTAGCAGGCCGACTGCAAGGCATGCTCCGAGAGGACTCGCTGCCAACACGTGAAGCAGTAAATGTGTTTTATGCAGTAGGCGAGCTTTTTCTGGAGATGGAGAAACACATGTCGCAGGTGCTGCTGAAGCTGTACGAAGCCATTCGAGCAAAAGCTTCTGGAATGAACGCTCAGGATTTGTCCAACTGTTTGCTGGCCACCGTGAGGCTTCAAGATCTCTCACCGAAGGTGTTGAACATAGTTCCAGCAATCGCAAAGATAATACCGCACCAAGTTGAGGACATGAAGCCTCAAGCATTGTCCAACTGCCTGTGGGCAGCTGCTAAGCTCAAAGATGCATCGCCCGAGGTGTTGGATGCTGTGGCTGCTCTTGCAAAGCGCGTACCGGACAAGGTTGAGGAGATGATTCCTCAGGAGTTGTCCAACAGCCTGTGGGCAGCTGCGAATCTCCAAGATGCATCGCCAGAGGTGCTGGATGCTGTGCCTGCTCTTGCAAAGCGCGTAGCGGACAAGGTTGAGGAGATGATTCCTCAGCAGTTGTCCAACAGCCTGTGGGCAGCTGCGAATCTCCAAGATGCATCGCCAGAGGTGCTGGATGCTGTGCCTGCTCTTGCAAAGCGCGTACCGGACAAGGTTGAGGACATGATTCCTCAGCACTTGTCCAACAGCCTATGGGCAGCTGCGAATCTCCAAGATGCATCGCCAGAGGTGCTGGATGCTGTGCCTGCTCTTGCAAAGCGCGTACCGGACAAGGTTGAGGACATGATTCCTCAGCACTTGTCCAACAGCCTATGGGCAGCTGCGAAGCTTCAAGATGCATCACCGGAGGTGCTGGATGCTGTGCCTGCTCTGGCAAAGCGCGTAGCGGACAAGGTTGAGGAGATGATTCCTCAGCAGTTGTCCAACAGCCTGTGGGCAGCTGCGAAGCTCAAAGATGCTTCGCCCGATGTGCGTGTAGTGGCATCGCCGCTCATAGTTCGCATGCGTCCCATGCTCAGAAAACTTGCACCACAAGAGTTGCGCATGTCACTTTGGGCAGCCCAGCAGTTTGAGGAGGAGTACTTGGCAGCCGGGCTGCAGGATGAACTTCACTGTCGGCGGCAGCAATGAGCCTTGTTGTCGCAAGGGTCGATCTCTACTTCTCGGGTTTTCGAACATGAGACGATGTGTTGCCTCGCCAGGTCGGCATGTGAACATGACAGCTTTGCCACGATTGCACACTGTTGTGATTGGCCCGCCCCGAACTCGTGTTTTTTTGGTCGGAGGCGGCGTAGAGTCGCGCAGCCTTGAAGGTCGAAGCACCGACGCAGTCGCTCCTGCATGCAACTGCACCCCGACCCTGTCCTGTGCCCTTCGGGAGCACGTCTGGGGTCTTGAGCGCAGGGGTATGAGGGAGTGGCTGTTGCTGTTGCTGCCGCGCGTCGTTCCCTTTTTTCAAATGCATGTTGCGGGATGAGGATCGAAAAAACTTCGGATCAATGTCCGGGATTCTCTGCAGCAGTTCAGTTGACACTGACGGTGGATGTTCCCGGGAGTTCGGGTATCAGCGTACTTCGCAGGGCCAGTCTAGCATCGAGAAGAAGCCGCGCCTGGAGAAGCACGAGAAGTCACAGGCGCAGGCTCCTCAGCACAGCCGGAGCAGGGGAAGAAGTATCGCTCACAGGTTCTACATACAGTTGCACGCGAAAACTCTGGGTGGGAAGCACAGGCTCCGTGAAGCTATTGGCTCACCGTAGTTGGACACGAAAAATCAGCACTGACGGAGATCCGGCCTGCGGCTTTGGTCGACGCATCCGCCATGTTCAAACTGCGCACGCCGAATGCCCCAAGCTTTTCACAATACATGGTGCCACACCACACATGGATCTGGAACCTCCAAGCCCAAAGCTTCAACCTATTATTTTGATTACTTTTGGATGTAACAGTACTGTAATTACTTCTGCACTCATCTTATAACATGACCGGTTTAGCCACATACGTGAACTAGACAAAAGCCAGAAGTGGACGCGACTGCCCCCTTACGAGTTACATAAGAGGTGCCCGCCACAGCTTGGAGATTCGATGCCCTGTTTCTGTTCCCGAGGTCCCGATACTTCGCCGAGAAACCGCGTCGGGATCCTCTTTCGGTTTGCAGGCTCCTGATGTGTGGTTTCAGTATGCTTCAGCTGTCACCAGTGGTGTGCGGTACTTATATAGATGCTCTTTAGGCGAGGGTTCAAGCAGTCTTTTGGGGCTCATTTAAGGGTGGGATGTGTGCATTCCATGGGATGTGAGCTTTCCCCGAGTCCTGTGTAGTAGCATCTGACTAAGTTTAAGGTTTGCAGTGGTTGCCGGCTCAGCGCTGGACTTGGAGTATCAGGGGACTCAGTAAGTAGGGCCTGAAGCTTATACATACGTACAAATCCTACGTTCATGTCAAGATCTGGGACGTTCCTCCGTTTCTCGCCGGGTCGCGAAAGTAAAGAGCACATGACCGTCTGGAGCCAGAGCTTGCATTTCACGAGCTCGTAGTTGTAATTAGTTGTGAGGCGGGCGCCCGCCGAGTTGCAAGGGTTCATGCTGAACGGTCGCAGCTCTTGTCTGGCATGCTCGCATGTCGACAGCCAAACGACCACCACCCATCCATTGCCCATTCGCCTGGCACCGCTTCTGCACCCTTCAAAACCTAAATCGAAAGCTGATACCAATCAACCGCCTTCATACTTTTTGGCATGAAGCCGGTCTTCTTGCAGCTGATAGCACTTCGATGCTTCACTTAAAAAACAGATATTGAGACGAAGCCCAGACACTCCATGCTTTTGCCCCATGCAGGCACCTCGAAGCTCGACGATGTTTGGCTCCCTTCCCAGAGGCCCGGCAGCGAAGAGAAGCGGGTTTGGGACACACAAGGCTTCAGTAACGGAAGTTAGATGTTAGGGGGTTGCCTATGGTCATTTTCCTTGCGTTCAGAGCTACCCGACGTTCGGATCGTCTTCACCACAAGCTGCCAGATTGGAGTTGTGGATGAGTTTAGGGTGCCGGGGTTCAGGTTGGGTGCTTTGTGCCAGAATGCTACTGACCCGGCTGTTCGTCGGCTTGTCGAGGGCAAGCTTTTAGGGTTCGGACCATGGAGGCAGCAGTTCGGCGCCATGCTTAGCAACACGATTCGGCGGAATTGTACTTGATCAGTAGTTCTTACGGTTCTCGGAGGCAAGACCTCGGACCTCTTGCAAGTGAAGCCCTAATTCCTAACTTCATTATCAGCCAAAGCTGTGGACAGGAATCCCAGAAACGCCGTGCATTTGCCTTTCCAGGCGCCTCGAATCTTGACTTTCCGGAGGCCCAGCTACGGAGATAGGCGAGTTTGGGACACAAGAGGATTACAGCCCTAAACCCTATAAACCCTAACCCAAAGGATTCGGCAATGCAAGTTTTATGTTGGAGGGTCCAAGATTGTTTTTCAAGGGTTCCGTGCTTCTGGGCATTCAGGTTCTTGCTGTGATTTGGGCCAACGGCGGTGGGGAGCAACGCGTTCTTATGTACATAGAGCATTGGGCGTGTTTTGCAGGTTTTGGTGAGTGTAGGTGTGGCTCCTTTTTGAGAGGTGCATATGTGGACTTTCGAATCGGAGTTCATGGCCCAGTAAGACGCACACACACACACACACACTGACTGCAGGACACGGTTGTCGCAGCTATGAAGAGTGATAAAGCTGTGGGCTACATGCGCTTTAGGAATCTGCCCGAGTCTGCTACCGGAATCTGCGGAGCAAGCTGAGAGATTGGAGTGGTCGACGGAGTTTCGGTTTTGAGGCTTGCAGCGCCGGTTCTCAACGGCCTGGCGGCTAGACTTTGAACAGGCGCGACATCCAGATTTAGTTGTGCTTGGCTTTTGGTATGCTTTTGAGGATGGGGTCTATTTGGTGTCGAGCCGCCGAGCTTCTTCGACTCCATCATGTCAGGTTACATATTATCATGGTGGGATCTATGAACAGTTGGTGCAAGTTGGTTGACAGGGTTTTGCCCCGCATCTCATATGTGACGAATGGCTGCTGATGGGGGCCTATGTTTGGAGAGACTTGAGCTAAGTCCTAGAGGAGCTGAGTCAGAGATTCTATTGCAAACTGCGCAGTTGGAATGGTTGAACAAGTTCTCGAGAGTTTCCCGTGTTCGTATCAAGGGCTGCAAGGCTTCAATTTCAGTTTTATGTGGTTTCTTGCCAAAGTTGTGCTCCACTTTGTCGAGAAGTTCCTGTTGTTCGTGTTCCTTGGAAGCTTCAGGTCAAGATGTGGGGAGTGTTGTGCTCTCCATGTTGGCTTCTGCAGGCTGAGCACGGCCAGTCAGCCTCGTGGAAGTTCCATGCTTGTGTGCTCATGACACACGCGGATCGCTTGGATAGCTGTCATCGTCAACGATTCCCTTTGAAAGCTGGCACGGCACTCGACGGTGATTTGCAGAGCTTCGTGGCTCTCTGTGAAGCCCCGAGATGAGGAAGCGGCCGGCATGCCACTGGACCTTTGTTGCCACGCTTTTGGCTGGAAGCTGGCTTCACAACAGACCTGAGCCCAGCATTTGTGGCAAAGTGGCAGCGAGGGCAAGGAGGTGTTCGCATACCTTTCCCCCGCGAACAGCGTCGGTTTCTGGCTGCCGCAGTCGCACAAACCGAGTTCGAGGTGGATTCCGTAAGCGAGGAGGACGCTTGCCGGATCGCACTCCAGATGATGAAGCCAGACGGTTAACGGCCTACATATCGAGGGCACGTTCAACATCGGAGTTGCTAACTCGATCGGACGGAGCCTTGGAAAATGCGGCCCTCTTCAACCATGTGCACATGTCTGCGGCGTTGACGAGGCTTTCGAAGTTCAAGAGAGCGCGCCAGTTTTACCGGTCCGATGCGAGCAGCCCTGTGTGGGCGAAGCTTTGCGATCGGCTGGACTCAATGCTCAGGGAAGATTCGCTACCACCGCGTCAAGTAGCTAACGTTTTCTACTCCGTCCATGAGCTTTACGAAGAGATGGACAGACATCAAACACGGCTCCTGCCGAAGCTTTGCGACGCCGTTCGGGCGAAAGCTGCCGGCATGAAAGCTCAAGAACTCTCCAATTGTTTGCTGGCTGCTGCAAAGCTCCAAGATACCTCGCGAGCGGTGCTGGTGGTGGTGCCAGCCCTTGCCAACTGCATCCCGGACAAGGTGGCAGACATGATTCCCCAGCACTTGTCCAATTGCTTGTGGGCAGCTGCAACGCTCCATGATGCATCGCCAGAAGTGCTGGAGGCCGTGCCAGCCTTGGTGAAGTCCATACCGGATAAGGTTGAGGAGATGATTCCTCAGCACCTGTCGAACTGCCTGTGGGGAGCCGCGACGCTCCAGGAAGCATTGCCAGAGGTCGTGACTGCCGTGCCAGCCCTTGCACAGCACACGCCGGAGCAAGCTCAAGACATGAAGCCTCAAGAGCTATCCAACAGTCTGTGGGCAGCTGCGAAGCTTCAAGATGCAACACCGGAGGTGTTACTTGCTGTGCCAGCACTTGCAGATATCATACCTGACAAAGCTCAACACATGAAACCTCAGGAGTTGTCCAACACGTTGCTGGCAGTGGCGAAACTCCAGTATGCATCGCCAAAGATGCTGGTTGCCATGACAGCTCTTGTCGAGCACATACCTGGCCATGCGCAACGCATGAATGCACAGGAGTTGTCGAACTGCCTCTGGGCAGCTGCGAGGCTCCACGATGCATCGCCAGATGTGTTGTTTGCCATGCCAGCCCTGGCACAGCACCTGCTGGACGAGACGCAGGACATGATGCGTCACAGGCTGTGTCGGCTGCTGCCGGCGCCCTCGCAAAGCTCATAGCACACGAAAGCTGCATCTACGATGAAATCATCAAGCCTTGCTTTGCCGCTCGCTGGCAACTGCGAAGTTTAGAGATCCAGCAATCGTGTCCTGGTACTCGGAGAGGAGAGGTCTGAAATTGTGAATACCATAGTTCGCTGCATGCAGATGACAGGCAGCAGGATTTGCAGGATCTGCATGAGCATTGCGGAGCTCAAGAATCCGTCACTTGAGGTGGCGTTGGGTGCGTCAGACCCTTGATCAAGCAGTTGGCAGTGCTCTGCACACACCACTTCAGGCAACCTGGCAGTTTCCAGCTCGCAGGCACAGCTCGACCCGGGACATGTTTCGAGTAGTTTTTTGAATGCGTCCATCTCGTCCTATGGACGGTGCCGAGGGGAAGGTCGTCAAGTCTGCATCTGCACATCGTCGTCCGCATGATCATGCTGCTGCAAGGAATGCATAGATTTATGATCGGTCCGCAGAATGACCAATGATGCTTGTCGAAGTGCTTGCATCGGCTCTACTTTGCACCATCCGGCACAACGGTTGCGGGTCTTGCTTGCGAGGATGCATGGGGCGTTTACTGCTACCAGAGATGTTTCGCGCCGTTTCCTTCACGAATACGGTCTGCAGAAGTTTGCGAAAGCTTCGAACACATTTGCTGATTTGTTTGTGTGTGGGGAGGGGGAATGGTAATGGCTTTGCTGTAACCTTCATCATCGACAGTTCCTAACAAATCGCGACAACAAGTACGTGCCAGTACGAACAAGTCTGGAATCTTCAAGCCCATTGGGGATAGTGCCTAGTATCAAAATTCCAACGCTCCCCGGTTGGAGGCTGGCTCGAACCACAATGGCGCACCTTGCCTCTTGCGACAGAGGCCCGCTCCTGTTTAAAGAAAGGAAGCCGTGCGGATTCCAGTTGAAGGTACTTGGGGCAGGGCTGAGGGTTCCACGCAAATCTCGGACTTCGAAGTTAATGTCAGCTTCTGCTTTCCCTAGAAAGTGCACCTGTCATAAGAGTAGGGTCCATGTTAACCCGCTTGCAGCTTTCTGACCTCGTCCAACAGAGGACGAGACCATAAACCACTAAATGCTCAGCCCCTATTAGGCTTAACCCCAATGGGTCGTTGATATCCATTAACCCTATTGTAAAAGACCCATACATGTTGATGAGGGTGACGAAATCGAGGAATCGTATTGGCCGCTGTAAGCATGATCAGAGAGGCTTGATGAGCTTGCACCAAGTCCAATGTAGCTTTATCCGCGAAAAATCGTCCAACAAGATTCAACATGTTGTTTGATGTTGCCTTTGTATCTGAATTGATGCAGTTTGCATAGATGCGGAACCTCGCGATTCCTCTACAAGTGGTGTGGTGGCATAAGGAGTTTGGCCTTAAAACTCAAAATGCCACAACAAATTGCTCAGCATGAAGGCCGGAACTCAGACCACACTGACCGGCGATGCCTCTACAGGCACGCGGCTCAGTCTCGTGCTTTATTTGCAAGTGTATGTTGAACTCGGCAAAGGGGCGATTGCATTGTGTCGTCCTGCAATGCGTGAGCATCTGCTTGGGGCTAAATTCTGCATATGTCAAATACTGTAACCGGAGCCGTGCAGGGTCGAATCGGTTTGAAGCTCTCAGCTTTCTCCGGCATCCCGATGGATCGCAAAGCATGTGCCGCGAGGTTCAGCTCCCTTCCAGGGCGGCTTCACCGGCCGGCTTGCCGAGTGGTTGTGGCGGTCATGGGATGTTGCTGGCTGGCCTCCCCGGAACTGGCCCTGAGCCCTGCAATTTGCGGAAGAGCCCGCCCTGCACTAGGCTTGCCGGTTGTCCCAACTGCGACGAACCGCGCGGGCTGCAGAATTCTAGCCTGCAAGATTCCGCGGAAAGTCCGTGAGCCCAGGCGCCAGGTTCCAGACCGCAAAAATGCAGAGAAGGAGGCTAGAGCATTGACGAGCCGGATCACGAAAGCTAGCTCGGCCGCAGAGCTTCTCGATCTTCTTGATAAGCAGGTTCGCAGCAAAGTTTTCAACGAGTACCACCTGACTGCTTTCATGACGATGCTGGCCAGATTCAAGAGGCGGTATCAGCTTCGCCAAGGCTGCTTTTCGAGCAGCCCAGCATTGGCCAAGCTCGCAGACCGACTGTATGATATGCTGCAGCAAGACTTGCTGTCACCACGCAGCACGTCAAATGCCTTCTACGCAGTGGGCGAGCTTTGCCAGGAAATGGAGAAACACCTGTCGCAGCTTCTGCCGAAGCTTTGCGAGACGGTTCGGTCGAAGGCTGGCGACATGGAATCTCAAGGTCTGTCCAACTGTGTTTTGGCGGCTACTAAGCTGCACGATGTTTCCCCGGACGTGTTGGTCGTCGTGCCAGCCCTTGCAGGGAGCATACGGGACAAGGCGGTGGACATGAACCCTCAAGAGTTATCTAACAGCCTGCTGGCAGCTGCGAAGCTCCACGATGTGTCACCGGAAGTGCTGACTGCCGTGCCTTCCATCGCAATGTGCATACCTCACCATGTGAGGGGCATGAAACCTCAGGAGTTGTCCAATTCCTTGTGGGCGGCTGAGAAGCTCCAAGATGCATCCTCAGAGGTGTTGGATGCTGTGCCAGCCCTTGCCAATCGCATACAGCACAAGGTTGAGGACTTGGAGCCTCAAGGCTTGTCCAATTGCATTTTAGCAGCAGCGAAGCTGCAGGATTCAGTGCCACAGGTTTTGGATGTCGTGCCAGCTCTGGCAAGACGTATACCGGACAAGATTGAAGACATGATTCCTCAACACTTGTCCAACTGCTTGTGGGCAGCTGAAAAGCTCCAAGATGCATCACCAGACGTTCTGGATGCCGTGCCAGCCCTTTCGAAGCGCATACCGGACAAGGTTGATGACATGATTCCTCAAGGACTGTCCAGCTGCTTGCTGGCATCTGCCAAGCTCCAGGATGCGTCGCCAGATGTGTTGGTTGTCGTGCCAGCCATTGCAAAGCGCATACCAAGCAACGTAGATGACATGAACCCACAAGAACTGTCCAACCTTCTAGTGGCAGCGGCAAAGCTGCAGCAGTCAGGGCCGGAGGTTTTGAAAGCTGTGCCATGTATCGTTCGGCGCTTGCAAAAGATCATCAACACCATGGACATGCAGGGCTTGGCCACAAACTTTTGGGCAGCCGGGAAGCTCAAGGATGCGTCTCCCGAGGTTCTGGCCTTGGTACCCAAACTCATAGACCGAATCTGTCCTGCAGTCAGCCAGTTCGTACCGGAAGGGCTACACATGTCACTTTGGGCATCCCAGCAATTTGAGGAGTGCGAACTGGCGGCCAAGCTGCGGGCGGAACTCGACCGTCGGCAGCGCTGAGCCTGCCTGGCAGATGACCTTACTGGACCAAGCTTAAGACTACTAGTACCATCCTTCGAAAGTCGCAGCAAGCTCATTCGCTCCTGCATGCACTTGCACCGGCCCTGCCCTGTGCCCTTCGGGAGCACGTCCGGGGTCTCGAGTGCAACGGCATCAAGCGGGGCTGCTGTTGCTGCTACGAGTTTTTAGGTTTCACTTGGATCAGCCCAGCACAACTTCAAGAGTACAGAACATTTGGAATCGACTGCAGCGCTGATTGTGTCCTTCGGCAGCGTCGAGAACCGTCTGGTAACTTACAGGTTCCATCGCGCAATAAGAGCATGTCTGTTTCTTGGAGGTCAGCTCGGGGGTGAAGGCACAACATCAGAAACTTATGTTTGTCACCTGGAGTTCCACAGAGGCACAAGCACAAACGGAATGTCACGTCAACTGTGCTACCCCAGTGTGGAAATGACCCCATCATTCCTTCAAAGCGTTGTGAAGTAGCCTGCCAAGGGCCGACTTAGCACTCTTCACATCACAGCTCTTCCCATGCAGTCGTGCCATCTTGAAGCTCAAATCCCTTCAACTGGCATCGTGAACTCCAGCACCAATTACTTCTTTCGTCTTGAGAAGGTGACCGGAAGCTTCGGACTTGGGCGACATCTGCCCTGCTCCTTCGCAGCAGTTGGGGTGTAAGACTTGGTGATGTTTTTGGTCTTGCCTTTTGCGTTGAGAACTTCAAGGCTGGATGTTTCAATTCGGAGCATAATTTGCAGAGTTTTCGGACTGAGAATTCGAGTGTTTGAAAATCCTAAGTGCTGACCAGGAGTTTGGTGTGCTTCTGCTATTTTCAGGACACGTCATTCCTGTGACCCCTACATCTGCGCTCGGTGACATAAGACGCAACTGCCCCCATGGCCCTAACCATAGTGACCCTAACTTTCGAGATCAACTCTCAGCGCTCGTGCACATCGGGGTGGGGTTTGGCTGGCTTAGAGGTTTCGGGATGCAAGCCACCCAAGAGGTTTCGGAGGCGCAGTATCCGGTCCCCAAGTTACCACCAGGACAACGTCCTCTATAGTAACCATGGAGCAATAGCACAACCGACCACCGCAGAAGACTTCTGCAAAAAGGCAAGCACAGCCGAGGAACCTGGAAGGACACCTTCCAGTTCTGAGAAGAGTTGCGTCGCAAAAGGCAGTCCTTAAACTTCAAGGCTTGAGACTCGGTGGAATCTGAACAGCATGCTGTTGCCCTGAAATCTGGAAACTTAAAAGCTTCAGAGATCTGAAGCTCGGTCAGAAGGCCTCTGAACTATAGCAGCCAGGCATGAACTTGAAAGTGCCATGAAGCCGCAGCCAGGCCTGTCGACACCAGTACACCGATGGAAGGAGGCCTGCTCTGATGCGGGGCTTCAACACGAAGGGCTTCTAGGACTCGGTCTTACGCGGGACTGGCTGGCCGAAGTTTTGCATGTTCCCTTTGCAGCCATTGAGTAGTATCTTCGAGTGTCATGCTCGTCCAGCAATTCCCAAGGCTCGAATTCATTAGATTTCCCAGTCTCGAGCTTCCCAGCCCACGATGGATCGGCCGTCGTCTTCGAAGTCGTTTCGGCCGGCAGCCGCAGCCGCAGGGGGATGTCTTCGACGGGCAGCTTCCAGCTTGGCAATTCATGCCATGTTGTTTGGATGCTGCTGGCACACCTTCTTCTGCTTCATCGGCTCCGGTGCGCAGGTCCTCGGTCAATTTAGGGATACTTTCCTCGATTTGTAGTTGGGGTTGCCTATAATATATTCAAAGCGAGCACCCCCCCCCCCCCCCCCCAGCCCCCCCACAAGGTGTCGTTTGTTTTTTTTTCAACCGGGGCCCAGGTTCCCGGCCTTAGCTTGGCTGGGACAGTGGCGGCGGCTATCCTGGCTGGCGAGTGTCGTTCCCGGAGCCTTAGTGGCCCCCAAACCCAACTTTTCAACTCCTGGGGCTCTTGAATTGTAGTCTTGTATCGGCAAGTTTGAACCTTTTCCCCCATAGGCATTTGGGAAGTAAGGAGCAAGATGCCTCAGAGAGTCCGCGAACCCAGGCGTGGGACCCAGGACAGCGGAAGCCCCGAAGGAGAGGCGAGGATGTTGACGAGTCGGATCACAAAGACTGACTCAGCTGCAGAGCTTCTGGAGCTGCTGGGTAAGCAAGAGCAGACCAGGATTTTCAACGAGTACCACGTCACAGCGTCCATGACCAAGCTCGCAAAACTCAAGAGGAGGCGTCAGCTTCGCCAAGCGGACACGAGGAGCCCTGTGTGGGCCAAGCTTGCAGCTCGGCTGCAAGATATGCTCCAGCAAGACGTGCTGTCGCCACGCAGCACTGCCAATGTATTTTATGCAGTCAGTGAGCTTTACGACGAAATGGGGAAGCACATGTTGCAAGTACTGCCGATGCTGTCCGAAGCAGTGCGGGTAAAGGCTACAGGAATGGTAGAGCAAGCACTTTCCAACTGTTTGTTGGCAGCTGGCAAACTTCATGACGCAGCACCAGAGGTGCTGATTGCTGTGCCAGAACTTTCGGAGCAGATTCGGCGCAAGGTTGCGTCAATGAATTCTCAAGATTTATCCAACTGCATTTGGGCATCTGCGAAGCTCCACGATGCGTCACCACAAGTGTTGGATTTGGTGCCAGCCCTTGCAAAACGCATAGCAAACAAGGTGCAAGATATGATTTCTCAAGCATTGTCCAACTGCCTTTGGTCAGCCGCGAAGCTCCAAGATGCATCGCCCGAGGTGTTGGATTCGGTTCCAGCGTTGGCAAAGCATATAGTCGACAAGGCCAAGAGCATGCGTGCCCAGGAATTGTCCAACTGCCTCTGGGCAGCTGCAAAGCTCCAAGATGCATCGCCAGAAGTGCTGGCTGCGGTGCCAGCCCTGGCCAAGCACATACCGGACATGCTCGATGACATGGTGCCTCAAGCATTGTGCATCAGCTTTTGGGCAGCTGCCAAGCTGAGGCAGACATCGCCAGAGGTTCTTGATTTGGTTCCGGAGCTGATTGTGCGCAACGGTTTGGTAGTCAGAAGCTTCGCACCAGAAGGGCTGAGAATGTCACTTTGGGCGGCACAGCAGTTTGAGAAGCACGAGTTGGTGGCCAAGCTCCAGGCAGAAGGCAACCGCCGCAAGCGCTGAGCGTGCCCGTCGCAAGGGCCGGTTTTGAGTACCGTATTTTTGACACATCTTCCTAGAGAGCATACCTGAATGCATTCGCTCCTGCCTGCAGCTGCACCCAGACCTCCGCGGTGCCCTCCGCGAGCACGTGTGAGGTCTCGCGTGCAAAGCATGAAGGGGCGGCGGCTGTCATGCATGAATTGATTTTGCTTGTTTGCTTATTTAAACAGCTTCCCATGCTCCTTGATCGATCGAGAAAGAAGTCAATCAGTGAATGCACGTCTGTTTCCATCGCGATACTTCTCAGCAACCTACTCCGCCGTCTCAGATGCACGGGGCAGGCCGGCGGTCGTGCCGCAGAGACTTCAAAAGATGGCAAGTCAATCGGCAGGCTCGACCATGCAGCAACAGCTTTGTCAGTGGCAACCCATCTCATTCCCTGAAATCAAATTAATGACAGCCTTGATTACTTTCCTAGTATGCAGGCAGAGAAGGACCTGGTCCCATGTGCCTTCGGCGTTTTCGTAGAGTCCAGTGGCATGATGTGCTTTCATACGGCTTCATGCGGCCGTGTAGAGATGTTGATTCTCGTGGTCAATGCAGTCGCGTTGGTTGTTTTGGGGTGGCCACACAGGCACAAGCATCAGCAGGTGGCGGTGGCATTGCGGCTCGAAGTTCAGGAGTTTTGCACTTCGACTGGTTTTGCATGCAAGGCTTCTCATTTCCTGTTGAAGGTTTGTGTTCCTGGTTTTAGACGGCAATGGTGCCAGGGGTAGGGCAAATTACTTTCCATGTCCGCAGACCCCTTGATCCTTGGGCGCCCAAGCTCATCGGAGCACTACGCATCCTTCGAGCTCTTCTTCAACCTACGGTTTAGTTTATTTAAGGAGTTTAGGGTTCAGGTTTTCAGGGACCGCTACACTCTGGGAGTCAGTCTGATTCCTTTGCACATCATTCCTGCACCGCACTTTGTCTCTGAGTCCACTTCAGGTGTCTACGAGTGTTCGCAGCATTTCCGGGATTTTGTCTTGCTTCAAGCGGCAGCGAAACATCTGCTGTGCAAGGGTAGCAAGATCTCAGTCTCCACCAGGCACGTGTACAATTCTTGTGTTTTTTTGTGTTCGTGACTCCTTCAAAGCCTTCGCAGTTGCAAGTTCAGCTGAGCCAACAGAGTACCCCCAACCCCAAGCCTCACAAAGCCAAGTCGGAAACGCCTTCGGTATGTGTCGCTGCCATGGCGTCCGGAGCAGCACGAAGAAACAGGACTGCCTCCTTCTTGTACTTAGAGGATCAGAGGACTTAGTAAGTAGGGTTATAAGTAAGGTAACTATAGTTATATCTACTTATAACCCTAATTAAGGTACTTATAACCCTACTTGCTAAGTCCCATGATCCTCTAAGTATTGTTCCACGGTTTAGACTGGCTGGGTTTTTTTAGCATTAGCTGGCAGATTTGGCATGGCTTTTGGCTTCCATGGCAGTTGGATTGGGGCGTAGGGTGTAGGGTCCCACAGGTTAACTTTCTTGTTGGCGGGCAAGACCGGCGATAAGGAATCGGTAGATGAGAGTTTCGGGTTCTTTTCATTGCTGGTGGTTTACCGGTGCTGTCTAGATGTGCAGGGTCCTTGGCAGAAGGTTTACAAACTTCTTGAGCAAACTTTGCATTTCTGTTAAACCTCCTGTAGTCTTCAAAATTGAATCCCATGCCTAGCCTAGCACATATCCCCTTTGGGGTTTGGGCTTTTAGTTTCAGAGCTCAGAGAGAAGCCGTTGTTGGGGGTTGAAGAAGTGTTGTGAAAGATCCAAAAGCCTTCATGAAGCCCGATCCTAAACCCAATAAGCCCAAGCCCTCTGGACCATAAGCTCTAAACCCTCTAAGTCCCAGACCCTCAAAACCCTAAACCCCGAAACCCTAAACCCTGAACCGGCTCCCCATGCAGGAAGAAGCCCCAAGCCGAAGGGGACGCCCCTGCAGCAGGGGCTGCGGGGACATGGAAGCTTCTAGGCCCCGTGAGTCCTTCTTGTTGGGGCCTAAACAACACTTAGGGGTACTTAGAAATAGTTTTTTAATTTTTGGTTATTATAATCCCTAAGAAACAGCTAAAATTACAATTTTTGCTAGGGTTGTAAGTTCAGTATAGAACAGAGCTTCTGAACTTACGATCGGAGGTTTATTGTTGGTGTCAGCCAAGCTCTGTCTCTGTGCGTGAGGCGAACCATGGCCTGGCAGATTTGGGATTTTCAGGGTGAAAACAGTGGTACCTTCTTTTGGGACCCTTATAATTAAAATACGGATCCTACTATTTAGGGTACTATATTGGGGTCCCCGAATTCCGGAAAGTCCCAATTAGATTCACTCGAGGGAATCTTCGTGGCCTTATGATTGGCTTTTGGCTTTGAGGCTTTCGCAAGCAAAGGGCTTACGTTCTGTTGTTGAAGAGGGGTCCAGGGTTGGGACTTGCAACTTGCAAGTGTCACAATATGTTGCAAGCAATATCCGCGTCTAGAGAAAAAAGCCTTGCGGCAGAAAGTACGCTGTGGACAACGCATTCATAAGTCCTACTGTCGTACCGTTTTCAACTGGACGATCTGTATGCTAGCCAAGACCAGCCGTATACTGGAGCTTGAAGACGACAATAACCCTAAACCCTAAAACCCCAAACCCTAAACCCAATACCCAATAACCCTAAACCCTTAAACCACCACGCCATGGGAGGAACGTCGGCGCGCGCCGGCTTTGGGCAGGGCCCGGGAGTGTTTCTCCCCGCGAAGGAGCCCCTGGCTTTGTGACGGTTCTGGCTTCGGAGGATTGAGGTTTAGGTTTTGGGGTTGAGGGTTTATTCGGGTTTAGGGTTTAGGGTTTGAGGTTTGGGGTTCGGGGGGTTAGGGTAAGCCCTAAACCCTAAACGCTAAGCCGCGTAGGGCTTCGGAAAGACTGTTTAGGGCTGAATGGGTGTAAGTTCTGCGGTCTGCCGGCTTATATAGCGGGTTGCTGTGGGATTGTAACATGGTATATGGGAGTTTCCGAGAATTAGGGGTACCTCATTTGGAGTCCTTATAATGAGGATCCTACTACTTAGGGTACTATAGTAGGGTCCCTTATTTTCGGAAACTCCCATCTAGAGAGTCTGAAGGCAATACGTTCGTTAAGGCATTTGGTCTTTGCTGGTGTCGGGTCCTAAAAACGCCACCTCCACACCCCCAACTTGAATGCCGTTTTTGCTTGGGCGGTTTTTGGGGTGCCGATTTGGGGCTTACTGGTGTTCAGGGTTTCTTGAAATCTGCAGGGTTCACAGGATTTAGGGAGAAAGGACTTGTTTAGGGTCTTTGGGGGTTCGGGTGAGTCTATTCATTCGGGCTTCTGTGTTAACGAGGATGCCCTTGTAGTCCTAGGTTCCCTATAAAGTTACTCAATACCAAAAAGGGAGCCCTTTTTATTCCTAGGGCATCCTAGTTAATTTTCCGATCAGGGTCTGAAACCGCAAACACTGCGGGCTGCAGCCCTGACTTCAAGCTTCGTACATACCTGTGGTTTAGAGTTTACGGTTTAGGGTTGAGGGTTTAGGGTTTAGGGGTTAAGGGTTTAGGGCTTCAGGGTTCAGGGCTTAGGGTTTAGGGGTTTAGGGTTTAGGGTTGAGGGTTTTGGGGTTTAGGGGTTTAGGAGACCCGGACTTCAACAGCCCACTTGCGGCATGTCGATTACCGTGCAGGTTTCACTGCTCAGTGGCAAAACAGCTACTGTGCAAGCAGGCTTGGGTGAAACCTGCCAGACGTTCGCACAACGAGCACAAGTCGCACTTGGAGTCGGCAAAGGGCGGCTGCGGCTGCTCGACTCCTCTGGAGCCGTTCTGGACGGATGCGCCGAGATCAGACATGCCGGGATTCAGAACGGTGACACACTGAGCTTGCAGGTCAGCAAAGTTCAGATCCAGTCGGGTAACTATTGTTTCGCTGCCATTCTTGGCGATGGATCCGTGGTGACCTGGGGCCGTGCTGACTTTGGCGGCGACAGCAGGTCTGTGCAGGATCAGCTGAAGAATGTGCAGCAGATCCAAACCTGTGGTAGTGCTTTTGCTGCCATTCGTGGCGATGGGTCTGTGGTGACCTGGGGCCGTGCTGTCTTTGGTGGCGACAGCAGAGTTGTGCAGGATCAGCTGAAGAATGTGCAGCAGATCCAAGCCTCTGGTGGTGCTTTTGCTGCCATTCTTGGCGATGGATCTGTCGTGACCTGGGGCAGTGCTGATTGTGGCAGTGACAGCAGCTCTGTGCAGGATCAGCTGAATAACGTGCAGCAGATCCAAGCCTCCGCTAGCGCTTTTGCTGCCATTCGTAGCGATGGATCTGTCGTGTCCTGGGGCCGTGGTGACTTTGGCGGTGACAGCAGGTCTGTGCAGGATCAGCTGAAGAATGTGCAGCAGATCCAAACCTCTGGTAGTGCTTTTGCTGCCATTCGTGGCGATGGATCTGTCGTCACCTGGGGCCGTGCTATCTTGGGTGGTGACAGCAGCTCTGTGCAGGATCAGCTGAAGAATGTGCAGCAGATCCAAGCCAGTGACGGTGCTTTTGCTGCCATTCTGGCTGATGGATCCGTGGTGACCTGGGGTGATGCTTTGCATGGCGGAGACAGCACGGCGGTGCAGGATCACCTGAAGACTGTGCAGCAGATCCATGCCGCGGAGAGGGCGTTTGCCGCCATTCGAGGTGATGGAAGGGTGGTGACCTGGGGTATTGATTTGGCTGGTGGCAACAGTATTGAAGTGCAGGGCCAGCTTAAAAACGTGCAGCAGATCCAAACCTTTGGACTGGCTTTTGCTGCTATTCTTGGCGATGGATCCGTGGTAACCTGGGGTCATCCGAGCTGTCAAGGCAACAGCTATGCTGTGCAGCATCAGCTGAAGAATGTGCAGCAGATCCAATCCTCTGTCAATGCTTTTGCAGCCATTCTTGGCGATGGATCTGTCGTGACCTGGGGCGATGCTGGCTCTGGCGGTGACAGCAGCTCTGTGCAGGATCAGCTGAAG